AATTAAGTTTCCGACCAACTCCAATAACATTAGTTCTAATATGCTTGGAGAAATAATGGAGATTCTGAGCCGAGTTTTCACCGCAACGCGGTGTGTTCACCGCATCGATAATGTCTCTTTTTGAATACTCAGAACTTATATTTAGATTAAATATTAATCTTATGTATAAATAAGCTAATAATACATATATAAATTACAAAGCTTTTATAGTAATGATCATCACTAAAAAATTGCTATGAAACATTTAACAGGCGTTTGTGCCAGCAAATCGTCTTTCTTCAAATCATTTATAATTAAATTATATACGTAGTCTGTCAATTGTAAATATAATAAATGTGTTACATAGTACCAGAATATCAGAATTTCTCTTGTGGTAATTTTTTACATTTATTGGTATTGAGTCTCCAAAATTCTCCTGCTTTCTCTCTCTTGCAATGTATTCCATATAGTGGTTAGGTAAGATTTTTTGTTTTTCTGCGCCATTATGGTTTATTCCCTATGTCGTCAAGACGCCATACTCTCTAATTTTCGTCGATCGTCTTAGAAGCTAAGGGATTGCTTGTAATGGGGTCTTAAAGTACTCTTGTTAACAATGCATCCTATCAGATCGACCTCAAAACGATTAATTATTGTTGAATTAATCACGATGGACCAACTATCATCTCCTATTAGAGCACCGCCAGCGTATACTTATAGCGCAGGCAGGGTTATGATTTCATTTTCTTTCCTTTCATCTATCGACCTTCATAGGTACCGAGCAAGTTTAAACTCATAGCGGACAGGGTTATCATTTCATTAATATTAATAAAAAAAAAAAAATCCTGCGTGTTGTTTTCTAGATTTCGTACAACCAGTAATTCCTGTAAGTTTTACTCGTTGTGAATTTGTTGAGCCTAGTAAAGTCTCAGTATCTTGATTGTGTTAATTTGAATAGTTAGTTTTATCTGGGTCACATTATACGTTTAACTGCTTTATATACAGATCAACACTTTAAGAAATATACCAAAATTAATATAAGAACAAATCAAATATAATTTTATAATGTCAGATAACACAATAGACTTATGTTATTTGTACTTGTAATATCACATGATAAAATCATTTCACATCTATGTTTGCGTGCAGTAAGAAAGTACACAATATTATAAAGTACATAGGTAGGTACGTAATAATAAATTCCATAACCTCAAAACCCAAACAAGTCATGGTTGAATATATAAAATCATTGGGTTGAATCGAAATTCACCTTCACAGAGTTATGTCCATTGTTTACAGAAGTTAACAAGATAACTACTTTGTTTCATTTACACATGCATACTAAAACTTAGGATATTTTAGACACTAAACATGCTAATAAGTTGTATTGGAAAAAATACGTAATACCATGTCGTAATTGTTGAAGACTTTTTAGCATTGCATCAGTTAGTGAAGCGAAAGTGTCACAAGACGAACACGCGCGTCGTGTCAGAACAATTTTATTAGATTCGTTGCTATCACTACGGCGGAAATAGTGCTAATTAAATGTATATACATTTTTCACACTTGCACTTTTTGTTAGACTCTTTTCTTAAATTGAATCTTAAATTGTACATATTTACCAATATGTAAGATAATAGCGTCTGCAAACAATAAATTCAAAATTACGTCGGTGCTTAATCGTATTTTTAAACTAGCGAATTGGCCCGGCTTCGTGCGGGTAGTTAGCTATTTAGTCGCTGAAATTTTTAAAATCGGTGGAGTATTTTTGAGTTTATCTATTATAAATAAATAAACATACAATCAAATCTTTCATCTTTACAATATTAGTATGGATGAGTACCTCCGTGTTATAAATAGTAACAATTCGATAATTACTTATATTAATATTTATCTATAAAGTAATTTAAATAGTATGATATGATGGCGCATACATTATTAATTATTTATTAAATTGGACAACTAATACAATACAACACAGAACTCTCGATAATAATTACTTTGGATGTTGAAATATATTTTATTCCTACAGTAAAATATGAAACTAGCTCAAATAGACATTAAGCAAAAAATATTTAACGTATAATCCCAGTTACTGTAGAAAAATTTACAAACGATATATATACGGACAAACGTACTTTAAAATCTAATGATGCAAAAGCAAGTAAAACGACAAATTTCCAATTATAATAACAAAGTACAGATCCTATTCACAAAGAAAGATTTTTATATTTTAATATAAATTTTTCGATTAAGTAGGTAATATATAACGTATGTTATATGAAATAATGATTACTTACATTATTGCACCAATTCTTGACAAGGCAATTTTCTGAGTGGATTTTATCTTGTTCTAATCCTCAGAGTACGGGACTTACTCAGAACGAATCTATAACTTTCAACTAGCCGAGATATGTGAGCAATTGAATCTGGTAGATAATCTCATTACCTGTGAAAGATAGGGTTATTACAATAGTAAATCTCTCAATATCCTGTATATATTCACGTTTCGTTTTCCATTACCTTTCTTTACTCACATTTTTTTTTTAATTTTAGACACGATGTGAGGAAATGCCTATTACAATTACAAATTGATTACCACCCATATGGCACTGTAGTACGTGGATTGTATTCCCGGTAAGGCTAATATAGGAGAAAAATTTATAACACAGGATGTCCTAGCATGAGGACCAAATTATTGGTGTGGTCATGTGGCACTTACTATACTATTAAAAAGCATTTACGTTTATTACAAAATGTTCATTGAAAACGCAATATGCGTTGTTTGAATTTTATTTTGATTACTGTCTAGGTCATTAAAAACACTTTTCAACCGACTTAACAAAAGAAGGAGGTTCTCAATTCCGTTGTATATTTTTCTATGTTTATTACCTTATCTCCATAACTCCGTCATTTATAAACTGATTTGGATTTTTTTTCTGAAAGGATATATCTTATTTCAGATTGGTCCCATGGAATTTTCATCCAAATCCCTTTAATAGTTTAGTTTTTAAAATTAAAATAAGTGGTGTGGTGTTTTTTTTAATATTTTTTATAAAACACCATCTTAAATTGTCCTTGTGTCTTCATAATGCCATATCTTAATTTTTGACTTTATGATTTGTTCATTTGTTTTCAACACTAATAGTGTTATTAGTTGCAAAACTAAGAACAGATAATTGTAATTAAAAATAAAATTTATTAAGATGGAGAACATTAAATATAATTATGTTTACCAACCCTAATCTTTAATCATAATTTATTGCAAGCTGTATATACTTGCAATAATTTCTTACCAATTAACAGAGTTAAATCCTTATCATCCTATACCAAACATCCTACATTTCTATATGGAAAGACGTTTTAATTTAGATTACGCTCAAATTAGCATCTAGTACAGACTCTGATCTAATACTTAATCAAAAAAATTTATACATAGTACTAAACTAATATGGATGTATCAAATAATAAAAAAATAAATAACGTGTCTTCTATATTACGAGTATAAATAAATAAAGTGCCGAGGTGGACCAATTCCAGAAATTTTTGTTTTCAAATATTCGTTGAAATTTAAGAATAGTTTTTTTTTTTTTTGATGGGTGAAAATGGTATGGTGACCCCGCCTGCGCTAACGAGATACACTGGCAAAGCACCAGTGAAGGGTGATAGGTGAGAATGAAAACAGGCCAGTTAGACCATCATGATGAATTCATCAGGAATTAACCATGAAAGTTTCTAGGGGGAACCGCGAGGAGGTCGACCTGGTTGGGTATATTGCTAGCAATAGGATTCTCAATCTCCATTTCTAACAATCCTTTTCCCCCCAATTTAAGAATAGTTAAGTGAAGAGAACAATTAGAAAAAAAAATGCCCTGTTCATGTCTATAGGCGACGATTACCACTTTTCATCAGGTGAACCATCAGCTTGTTTGCTAATCTAAGTTACATAAAAAACTTTCAATAGTATATAAGTAGGTATATGTTTATGATTGACGATCATGATTGATAACGATACCTAACAGTAATAACTTTAAATGCGATGTTCGTCATATCTTTTTATTAAGAGAATACAACATGTTTCGTCATACAACATCAAACATAATTAACACGTAATACAATTATGTACAATACACACAATTCAATTGATTTAGGTCAACGAATGGTCAATGCATTTGTGAATTGAGATTGCAAAATATTTAATGAACCATCTATTTGTAGTAGGTACATAAAATATTGCACCGGCAAGGGCATTCAATCCAGATTTTATATAGACGAATTTACAAACATTTTTAAATGGATGGCTCGAAGAATATATATTATATTAATAGATTGTAATGAGCTCTTCATTAGATATACATCAATAGATGTTTTTTTTTAAGACACCAAACATAGTAATAATATAAACATAACAATAGATGTTTTAGATACCCAACATATTGAAGGTGGAAATAATATGTTCATATGGTATATATATTCAAATGGTAATTAAATAATTAAATTATTGCACCAACTCCCAACAGCATTACTTTCAAACAGATACGACAGTGAAACTTACAAGAAAAATGCACATACTTTCTTAAAAGGCCAGCAACACAACTTAATTTTTTCTGATGTTATGATTGCCTGGGCGGCGGTAATCTCTTACCATTAGGTGCGCCGAAAGCTCGTTTGCCCTCTATGTTATAAATAAAATATAATTTAAATCAATTCTGCTTTGTATTAATATTAACTATTTCTTTTCATCTTCACGATACCGCTTATGTATTGTTAAATATTAACAATTCCAGAAAAAGAAATAAAATTATATACCTAATAAGCTGTCTGGTGACGGTAGTAACAGGTAATTAGGGTTTTCTTACGTTCCATGCTGTAGCAGTGATTTAGGGATAAGGAAACTAAATAAATGTTAGTTTTAACAAGTAAGATATTAAGAAACTTTTAAAATATCCTTAAATGTGACCTCGAAAGTTCGAATGTACTATCATCTTCATTTATTTTTATTAACACATCATGAACATCGCGGAGAGAGAGTATGAACCTACACTATATTATTAAAATAAAAATAATAATCAAACCTAAAAGATGCTCCTAAAAGGAAGATAACCTAAAAGGAACTTTGGTTTACTTTTTTTATATTTAATTTTTTGCTCTTATTTCTCTTTTTTTTTTGCAGGATAAGTGAAAGGAATGAAGCCCATACAGCCAGCACATATATATTTACTTTATTTTTCATAATAATAACGCCAGTACGTCAGTAATATTAAGTACATACCACTTTTACAGATAGTTTGTATTATTTTGTTATAAAAGAGTGTCAAAGTGACGTAATCACAAAATTTTTGTTAAACGTTTGTTGTATAATAGGTATATAAAAATATAAATTTATAAAAAGCACATTACGTAAATGGCAAGAGCAGCAAGAATAGCGCTTGACCTAGCTCTTGGTATGTATTAAGATATTTAAAGGAAACTGTAGCAAAACAAAAGTGGATAAGCAGAAAATGAATTACAATATCACATAACATATATTTTTATTAGTTTACTTATAAAATCAACTTTATTGAACATATAATTAATCCGGATTGTTTCGTTGCAGTTTCTCTGAATATTGTACGGCCTACCGTTTCTAAAATATGGGGTGTTGCTAAATCAGCGATCATAAATACACCGGCAAAACCACTTATATGTAATACAGTCGTTACACGAATCGAAACGGCTCTGGATCAAATAGCAGGCCTGCTAGTTTTTAAAATGACTGCACTTAGAGATAGACAACTGCCAAAAGAAGAAAAATACCTAGAAAAAGAGTTGGAAAAAGTTAGAAAGAAAATGAACAGCGACAATTGTAACAGTTGTCGCGGTGATGGCCAACGTTAATACTTAGATTATAACGTTAAAAAATTGATAGTACTTTTATAACAAAATAATATTGCAAAGTATGTTTTATTTGATACATATTCCCATTTTTATTTTCATTCTTACAATAAATAAAATATTACAACAATTATTAAATTCAATGTCATTTATATTTTAGCATCTAGTAAGGCACTAAGACCGACTTTAGGACATGCTTGGCAATATGCTAAAACAGAGGTAGCGCCCCCAATGACACTTGGCTTTTTCCATGGACCTAGGGGAAAAGCTATGGAAAATAGTGTATCAAAATTTGCCGATGAGTTTATAGCAGGCATAGAAAGCAAAATAAATGAAATGGATGCAGAAAAATTAAGAAATGTGAAAGAAAAAAATTTTGCTGTTAAAGCAGTACAAGAAACAGCAAAAACTGCAGCAAAGGCGAAAGAAGATGATAGAAAACGAGAAGAAGAACAAAAGAAAAAACAAGCAGAAAAAGCTGCTCAAGAAAAAGCTAAAAAAGAAAAGAAACTTGAACCAAAAGCAGAAAAACAAAGTGCAACTATAAAAGAAGTCGAGAAGAAATCAGAAAAAAAAAGTAACAACAAATCATAGACGTTGCTAAATACAAAGGTTCAGCTAATTAAATAAAATTAATGTAAACAACATTCATTCAAATATATATATATACATATACATACATATATATATATATATATATATATATATATATATATATATAATAAATTATAAGAAAATAAAAACAATTACAATTTTAACAACTTTAAACCATTCATCTAACATATTTCGGTGTAAAATTACTATTGATCCCACTTAGCTTATTCTTGGGGTCAAACTAGCTATATATGCCAATTTTTCAATACTATGTAGTAATATATTCTAATATATATCTATGAAAAATAACAAATACTTTAAATACTGACAACCTACCTGATGGTAAATTATAATTGTATAAACAGTATTAAGTATTAAACGTTTATTTCCAAAAGAGATTTAAGCATGGTTAAACTCCAGTTCAATGTTTCAAAATGTTCAGCATTCTTTGTTACTGCAATAATGCTCGATTTAATCCGCAAAGGAGAGTAACAGCTCATGACTATGACTAGTCGTGTCAATTTATTAACATACTGTCTGTATCCTGCGACTTTTCTTGGGTAAAATAATGTTTAAAAATATCGAATCAAATTAGAATTTACTTTTTACATCTCTTCCGCAATGCGCTTCCAGTATACCTTTAAAGTTCATATATAACCAAGTACCCAATAGGTAGGATATTTAGAATCATCAATACCTTGCTTTTATCTTATTTATTTAGAGTCTAGTATTATATTTACCTTCGCTATTGATGCCTATATTCCTATCAACCATAAAATTATTATAATGTACTTATATATTTCATAATCTAAACTACCAACCACAATACCTGAGCTGTAAAAGTGTTATGGTTTTGTCTTTGCCTGCGATATCTATTACACTAAAACCAAAGATATTGGTACTAGTTCAATATATCTGACTAATACACAGATGTTAGCAACTTATCTGTTATACAAAAACTTTTTAAAATCATGCTGACCACTCTATACTTTTTATTTTAGAAAAAAAAATTTTGATAAAACATTAACTGTCAAATTAACTTTGTCATTGATGTCAAAGAAACTAGAAAATATTACACTCCTATTGTAATAGTTTTATATTAAGACTTTAAATTAAACAGCAAGTTTGTATAAAACATGGCGACAAATACAAATAATGTCAAGTTTTTGACTAACCTTATAAGTATGTCTATTTCGTAACATTTATATACTATTATTTTTATTTAGCTGGAGTTATCAGATTCCCGAACATGGAATTCGTTCGCAGAGTATTATGAACCCATTATTTACTATTATACCTATGTTATCTGTATCTATTATAACTACGAATCTTGGTTTATATAATCATTATCATGGAAAATTAAAAATACCTCCATTTAATCATACACGTTTTCATCTTTTGCTCTCTTGTTATGTTGTGATGGTAAAATCATAAATAATTGTGCCGGGCTATGGTAACTCATCTGCATACAGCCATTTCAACACTATTACTTATTTCTACTTTATGGTTTTACACAATTAGTAGTTTAGTTTATATAGAACCTCAACAATTTCGATTTTTCACTTAGTCTTTTTTTGTTATGGCGTCATCGTTAAAGAACTGACATGCAATTATTATATGGCCATTGTAGCTATAATATAGCTACAATGGCCAGTTTTAATTCAATTTGATTTTGGAATAAGAAGAATAATATGGATGTGTTTTAAAATCTCATAACAATTTGTTATACACACGAGCTGCTTTCAGGGACACTTCAATATGTCAATATACCTACTAGATATTTATTATTTATCAAATTTTAGCAAAGACCGAAACACCATTTTGCTTATCCAACTTTTTTCCATTAATAATTAATAATATTTACTGCTTATGTAGGATCTAGATTCTCAACTTTTCTTAATATAACCGAAGTTTACAAGCCTACTCTGACAAGAAATAATGAAAAGATCATGAATTTAATAAAAGGTATGCTTATATAAATGATTGAAAATTGATAATTTTGTAGGTACTAATTTAACAATTTGGATATACTTACATTCAGGGAACTAATCCAAAACAAAGTTTAAATGTTTTCTTCTTAATCAAAATGATGCAGTCATTGTTTTTCAATAAAATTTGTATCTTATTCTACAGTTAATTCCCAGCTTTTTTTTTATAAAGTTGACTGAGATTATGAAGTAATATTACATTGGATTCTATCGACATTCTTAATATTGTAAATGTAAAAGTGGATTTGTTTGTTTATTATGTCTTGGCGCTTTAAGGATTCAAGCAAGCGACTTGAAATGTCCTAATATTTTTCTTAAATACACATCTAATATTATACCTACATAGAAAAGACCCAGACCAATACAAACAGATATACCCTTGAATACAAATGTTTGTATTATGTGAGGAACAAACCTGTGATCATCAGAATGTGAGTCGATGTGTTACGTCGCTACACCACCAAGGTCATCTAAAATGATGCATGATTTATTAATACTTGGTTGAAATAATAGATTTTTGTTGCATTCTTACAAATATAGTTAAAACAGTAGGGTTTTAATTATCTTTTTGGAATTCTTTAGAAAAAACTGCACAAGCATCTAAATCTGAATTGGTTAAAAAGATTAGAGTAGCCAAGGAATATTATAGATTGGAAATGGCTCCACCTACTGCTAATGAAATGCAGGTACTTATTGTAACATATTTAACGGCACAGATTCTTTTTTATATAATAATTTATTTATTTATTCCCTATAGTCCCTAGTACATGTTAGTGTACAAGGCGGACGTAATGAAATAAAAAAGCATTCTCTCCCAATCCACCTTGGGGAAATGTTAGAATACTGGAATGCGATATTAATTGATACGTATATAGGTATTAATTGATATACATATATACACACACATAAAATTTACATATATATACAAATAAATATATATAAATGACAAATATCTTATACATACTTTAATAATCTTACCAATAATAAAATTTTAACTATGGTGATGTCTGTACTAAGAGATGTTTAAGAAAAAATTATATAAAGAAGTATATAATAACAGCTATTATACTATAGTAGTGTTAATAGTACACACAAGTGTAACCCTATTTTGGTTACAGAGAAAGTTTGGAATATTTTACTTACTAAACATCTTATAGATAATTTAAAGGATGTTTTACGTAAATCAGTCTTAGAAACAGCCAGTAAATAGAATAATTGTATTAACTAAAAATACCGAATTTCGTTGCAGAAATTACAAGCTGACTTAGCTCTGGTGAAAGAATTTATTCAATCAGGTTGCTACAAATTCCTTACGGTAAAGCAGGCGTGGCTGCTGTTCCTTGTTGGTACTGAAGTGGCTTTATGGTTTTATTTGGGTGAAACTATTGGGAAAATGCACATTGTGGGCTACAAAGTATAAAACTAAATGGCACTACTTATTTTCTTTTTACAACAATTATATATACTGCTAAAGAAACATAGTAGACAAAGGCCTGAAGAAATTGTTAAAAACTTGTTTCAAATTAAATTAATTTTTATAATACTTCAAGTTTATTATTATTATTGATTTTTTTTATCCATATCCTACCCTTCAAACCGAAACACAGCCATGCAAACACAACAGCTTTACGGTAGAAACACGAATGGGACAAAGGTGCCCAAGCAAACGACTTTTGTACAAAGTATCCCTTTGGAATTTTGTATCGTATATAATTTTACCTATAAAATATTGCGATAAGGGTAGGATAATGATGATTGTGCCTATCCGATGGAAAACACTTACTGTAACTTATAAGCGCTTGTCCCACCTTACCGTATTGTTCATCCTGAAAGAATCTTAATTTATCTACTTTATAATAAACCCCACATTGTACTTTTATAGATAACCACGATTTCAGTTAAAAACACTTTTAGCCGTGACATCGTCCACTTGAACGGGATATGTTTATTAACAGGGATAAATTCGCTGTGTGCTCCCGCCATGGAATGGGCCACCTACTCCTTTCCCATGAGGGTCGTAAGAGGCGACTAAAAGAATTAAGTGGTCGAGGGATGGGCAGCAGCGTGTCCGCCAAGGGTGACAACGATTGGCAAAAATTCCCTTGTGGGGAAACCTATATCCTGTAGTGGGCAGTTAACGGCTGATATAATAATAATAATAATTTTTAAATAGTACATGAATATGAAATTTTATAACGATTGGTTGAGCTGGAGCACCAGGAGGTAACAAACTCATTTTCACTTTTACAAAGTAAGGATAACATATATGACTATAAATCGACTATAAGTTTTCAATTTCTCTGTATTTTTTATGTGTAGCTAATGTTATGCGATATATTTTTTATGTAACCTCGAATGGCAAACAAACTGTCATGTTATGTCAACCAAGTTTACCACAAATTTGTTTTTGAGAATATTAGAATCCCCAGTTTGGTCCATTATACGGGCCTATTATGATGAATACTAGGATACAAATCGCCAGAGGTATGTGTTAGTACATACAATGTAGGGTACATATTTCGCAAACACATTGCGTGGTGACTTTGTGGTATATTCGTGGATATATGACTTAATAGGATATATGGATTATTAAATGTCAAAAATAATGGTATTACGTAGCACGATTGTTTTCTAATCATTAAATGGACTGATTGCACTATGTTCTGACAAATGGCGCCATTACCGGTCAAGTAATAAATATACAGAACTAAATCATAATAGTAATTTTAGTTCCTAATTCACTCTGCTGAGTCGGCACCATCGTTTGCTCGCTAGTCATTTTTATGTAATATAAAATATGTTAAGAATAAAGATTACGAGCAAATATTGTGCAATTTTTAGCTATCCTTGACTGTTAGACTGAGAGATACGTAGTTTTTTTTATCGGTGATAATGCAACAGTAACCACACTGCGTTAATGGTATACGCAGGCGGGGCACCAGTGATAGATGATAGATAACGTTGAAAGCAGGTCAGTTAGCCCATCGTGACGAATTCCACTAGAATTAACCACGATGGTTTTCAGGGGGAATCGCGTGGAGGTCGACCTGACGGTGTATTGCTAGCAATGGGTTAATTAGATCCCATTACTAACAATCCCTTTCCCCCCAGAGATACGTAGTTAGGTGCTGGTGTCCATACAAGCATGAATTTTATTTGGCAAAGCAGTTGTTCTGAGATATTCTGTCTAGAAGTATAGGATCTAGTATTACTTGTTTTAGCTTGATATTGATGTTGGACTGATTGAAATTGGTACAATATATACTTCTGTAAACAATATATCTTTAATAAATAAATAAATAAATACTAATACTGGCTGTAAAAGGAAGTTTGTTTGTTTTGTTGTTGTTGGTTCAGTTGTCAAAGCACCAAAGTACTTTAATCAATCGGCATGAAATTTTATATATACGTGGTATTGGGGCAGAGACTGAAGGACATATACTACTTTTTATTCATGTCAGTAACATATCCCAGCCGCACGGATAAAGTAGTGGATAAAAGTTAGTAATTAAAAAAATTAACAAATAATTTTAAAATTAAAGGAGTGTTTTTTACTTGGTGCAATAAAGTCTAAAATAAATAAATAAATGTTATAAAAATATCAATTTGACGTCAATAATTATTGGCCAATAAAAAACGACTGAGGTTTGAATCTGCGTCTAGAAATAAAAGGTACTAAAATTATATATATTCCAAATCACGCGTGGTACAAAGGAAGTATTTAAAATTGAAGGTTGTAACAACCCTGACCAAGTCGTAGATGAATTGTTTTTTTTTTGTAGACACACGCTGACGGCATTTGTAGGTACTTATTTATACAATTAATAAAATAATATGTTGTATAGGAAGTGATAAGATTACAAAATTACATAGATGATTAGTAAATATGTAATTAGTATTCGTAGTTTAACGGATTGTGTTTTTGAAGTACCTTTTTATCTATTCAAATTAGTAGGGTTGTGTCAACATTTTTTTTTTTTAATTACTGGTTATAGTAAGTTTAACTATCATACTAAATTGAACAGACCTTATACTGTGAGTACTTGATAACTGATAAATATACTTTTATTTGTGTTTTTATAAATATGTGTGTATTTTCATGACAAACACCCAGACTGATGCAAACTCATGAGCACAAAATATTTGTATTGTCCAGGGATTGAACCCCTAACCATCAGAAAGTGAGGCGGTGTGTTTATCAATAATAATATATATTTTATGTAAGAAATGCAATGAACACATTTTCATATAAGATTATTACACTTGTACTTATGCACGGAACCTTTCAGCGTATGGGTTCAACTCGCACTTGACCAATTTCTTATGTATTTACAACTAGTAAAAGTAAACAAGCTGGCAACCCACCTAACGGAAAGTGGTACTTAATCGCCGTCTGGGGGGGGGGGGGGGGGGTTGTTAATAATGCGGACTATCAGTTCCATTGCTAGCAATATCAGATCGACCTCCACGTGTTACCCCCTGGAAACCGTCGTACTGAATTCCAGGTGTTCCATCACGGTGTGCTAACTGACCTACCTTTTCATCTTTCGCTGATGCTATGCCAACGTAAACCATTAGCACAGGCTGCAATTATTATAGGCTACCATTCTATTATCATCCATTAAAAATCGCTGCCTATAAATATAAACAGCACTATGGATATCACAAAATACACTGTGACGCCGATGATATCCTTCATGCGTATAATGATAATAATGATAATTATTGAATACTAACTCCTTATTCATAAAGACGTCAAACCTCTCATAAATCATGTTTAGCTATTGACCTGATTTGTCCCTTTTTTATGCTAATTTACAACTTGAAACAAAGTGACAATACAGTGTAAAATTTTAAATCGGTATGTAAAAGGTTTTAAATTTTATGAATAAGGGCAAATGATGGTACAATTACGTTGTAATTTTCTATATGTTTTTTAATCTATGGTATCTTCATTTGAACTATTTACATTTGTTCAGTAATGATAATAATTGAACGATAAAGGACCCGTTATATATATTGAAATCAGATTGACCACCTCATAGTCCTTCTTGAAAATTAACGTGGTTAATTCCTGGGGAATTTGTCATGATGGGCCAACTGACTTGACTGCATCAGCACCTGATATCCCTCACTGGTTTTCCGCAATTATATTCCATTATTATAGGCTAGTGTGCCATAGCACCCTCATTTATAAAAAAAAAAAACCTGCTTTGCGAACACAAGTGGTATACGTTATATTAAATCTATGAGTTGGACAGAAGTGCCTGTACTCTAAGAATAAAGAAATCTTTGTACGTACCTATTCAAACGACCGTTCTCCCTCTGGATGGATATAATAGATAACGTTGTACATGTCGTATTGGCATTGGCCTTATATATAGGTACTTATCTTCAGCAATGCAACAGGATCTATTACATACATTCATGATATAATAAAACAAAATAATTGCATACTAATTATAAAAAAGTATTACATAAGTATGTGGCCATCGCTGTAAATCCTTGTCTTTAGTTGTATATTGACTGATGTTGTCGTGACGTTTAGTAATCAAATTAATAATGTACAGGATTATCTAATTTAAGCTGCCCTTGTAAGCATACCTTTGGCATATTATAACGAAAGTTATTTGGTAGGTAAATACTGAGTGAAAGAATTATGTATTCACCGACAGATATTTACTTACAGAATCTGAGTTATAAAATTTCTTATTTTTATTTGCATAGGTATTATAATAGTTAAACCAGATAGATATTTATTTAATTATCCAAGATAATATTTTATCAGTGAATACTTAGATACAAAGTACATTTAGTGAAGTGAATGGTTTCGTTTGAATTTCGCATCATTTATAAATAAGGTATTCGTTTTTGCAGACGTGTTTGCTACACGGTTTTATCCGATAAGCCAATATTAATTCTTTTTTAAATTTTATTTCGGTATAACATTCCATTACAGAAATATTGTATTAGGTATCTACAATATCCTTATTATCCAAATGTAATAAAAATTACTATTTTCTTGTCTATATAGTAGTTCATATTAATTTGCCTAGTGCTGAGTTTTGTATTTGACAGTCAGAATAAAAAAAAAATATTTTGACAACTCGTTCAATATGGCGGCGAAGGTGCAATGCGGTGTTTCCGCGGAAACGCGAAGCAAAAAATTATGATTCAAATTCCATCAAAAACTTTTAAAAAATGATAGTGAGTGCATCTTGGTAGTGCTCGTAATAAATGAATTATCCCATATTAACAGTGATTGTTTTAATCGTGTTTGTCTCGTAATGTTGCGGCGAGTCAATTTTTATTCAATATGTTTCGCGTTCGCTCTCAGTGTTCTCTTAATCCTAGCTGGAAGTCGGTATACAGATAACACAGTTTATCGTCCGTCCTCTGAGAGTCGCAGAAATATAAAAAATTTCTTAAAAATCGAGGATGGAGAAGACCATTTGCTGCCTATGCCTACAAACCAATATGACGGTTTAGCGGATACAGAGAGATTATTAGAGAATACTCGCAACAAAATTAAAACAGACCTCATGAATTACAATTTTACTTATTCTGGTGTACAAAAAATAGAAGATTTACTTATGGAGCATAATGGACAACCTTTGAGAAGTCTAATTATATCAACATGGAGATCAGGAACTACTTTCCTTGGAGAAGTATTGAATGCAATGCCGGGTAACTTCTATCATTATGAACCTCTTTTAAACTATGAGATTATACAAATAAGAGGCCCTCCTCATGCTGCTAAAGCTCTGAGCACTATCAAGAATATGTTGAAATGTAACTATGATGACATGGAAGACTATTTTAAGTTTGGGAAAGGGCATGTTTTTCAATTCAGCCATAATACAAGACTATGGGGCCACTGTAAACATAAGAGAGAGCTGTGTTTAGACTCAGAATTCACAGGAAAGTTTTGTAAGCTGTTTCCATTCCAGAGCATGAAAGTTGTGCGTTTGCGATTACGGCTCATTGAAGAGATATTAGAGGATAAAGAGTGAGTTTTTTATAAGATTTGTTTCAATTTTTAATAATATATTTTATTTTGACTTTTGTTTAAATAGAAATAAAAAACTTATTTTGATTTTTATACACACTCACCATAATGAGTGCAATGAGATATAGGAATGAAGTGGAATCTATTCATATCAGCATTTAACTATTCATTGCTGTACATAAGTCTCTCACTTGGGGGATTTTACCAGCAGTTGCCATGCTTGGCGGGTGGTTTGGCAACCACAGTTTTTTTTAATAGATGATAATGGAATGGTAACCCTGCCTGCGCTATCGGTATATACTGGTGGGGCACCAGTGAGGGATGATAGGTAAGAATGAAAATGCAGGTCAGTTAGTCCACTGTGATGAATCTAACAATAAATCAATCGCAATGGTTTCCAGGGGGAATCACGAGGAGGTTGACCTGACAGGATATATTGCTAACAATGGGGCTAACTAATCTCTATTACTAACAATCCCTTCTCCCCCCTGGCAATCACAGGCTTTGGAAATGTTAAGAGAGATCCTGCTGCCCATCCCTCACCATTCCTTAATCTCTTACGACACCCATGAGAAAAGAAGGGGTGGCCTATTCTATGCTGGGCCCACACAGCCATACTGTATACTGTTTTGTATTGTTATGGGTTCCATGTTATTCTGCTGTCATTATAACTAATAAATGATTCAGCCGGGGAGAGAATAGCACAGATTTATCATTCCATTAGTATAATGTTTATTAATTTTTTACTTATTAATAATACAATTTATTTTATTGGTTAAAATACGGTCCATCTGTGTACTAACCATCCAGCTAATTAAATGTCATTGACTTTTTTATGCAACATCTAATTGTAAGTGAGCTGATGACTTTCTGATGAAAAGAGATTATTAGTAGAGGTATGAGGTCACTGACCTAATTACTAGTAATAGATCCTATTAGGTCAACCTTTATACTGTTCTTTTGTTTGTCATACTGTCTACTGGAAAATATGATGATTTTTAATGTGATCATAACTATCAATAATTTTTGATAAATTCATAACAATTCATAACTTATCTGCTTTCATCTTCGCTTATTACATCTCACTGGTTTCATCTCACACATTCCATCAGTGTATAGCAATAAGTCTGTGGGAGAGCCCTATGTTAGGCAGTGGACAGATAACAGCTGATATGATGATGCTGATAATGATGCCAATAGCACTGGTTATCTTGATTGAAAATGATGACTGTTGAAGCATTAGTATACTCAAACTATGGTAACATTCATACAATGATATTCCTAAGTACTAAAATGTTATCCCTCCATACTCTGTAATTTCACTGCCATATCCCATCATTCCAAATATCCAACAAGACGTACATTGTTATACATAATCCTTATTTATAACAAGTTATTGTCCTAAATTAACAGTATTATTGTATATTTTCAAACTTATATTTAACATAGTAATGATGATACTTATATTTATTTATACCTTTATTTACTTGTTGTCCTTGTTTAATTTTGCTACTAGATAATTATTACTAGTCACTTTATTTTAATTAATTTGTACTTTGAGAAGTTATTACATATTAATGAATATTTGTTTACTTGTTTTTATTATAGACAACTCCTTGTTGACTCTATAAGAATATTTAATTTGAATTAAGTCTATTAATAGTAAATTAATGTCTGAAGTAATGTGGAGGTACCATTAACCCTTTTTGTCTACTGTTTCATCTTAATAATTCCCTAACATCTCATTACTGGACATGATTCTCTCTCAAAAAGTGGAGAATATTAATTTACTGTTACCATACTGGCCACATGACTTGCTATAGGGTTCTATTTCAAATTTTCTATCTCTTGTACTTGTTTGTTGTGCAGTGTACTCTGTGTTGATACTTATAACATCATGGGATGGGGAGAAAGGTGTTTTTAGTAATGGGGTCTAACTGCCTCATTATTAGCAATGTACCCTATTAGGTCCACTTCCATGCTGTTCCATTTACAAATGATTGTAGTTAATTATTATTCAATTTTTCATGATGGACCAATTAAACTGTTTCATCCTTACTTTCATTCCCCATTGGTGTATGTCACCAATATTTGTATATTGATAGTGTAGTGAAGTTACTATTTCATTTCTATCAAATAAAAAAAGAAACATTATGGGGATAAAAGTATTGGATTACATTATTATTCCGTCATTATTATATGTAATACTTAAATATTTGTCTCCAATTCCAGACTTAATGTTAAAGTAATATTATTAATCCGAGACCCTCGTGGTGTGATGCAGTCAAGACAACATCGTGATTTCTGTCAGCCTGCTCCAGACTGTTGGCGGCCTGAGCTACTATGTGCTGACATGATTAGCGACTATGTAGCTGCTGCGAGGCTGCTTCCGAAATATCCTGATAGGCTAACGTAAGTTGTTTATGTTTTTCATCAGAAATAATAAATTGTATTTGAATCAATTATACAGGATGGCCAAAACAAGCAAATAAAAGGTTTCTTTGTTCAGATCAATTTTGATATTAATGAATAGTAATTATTAAGGTTAGGAGATGGAATTGCAGATTCAGTTACAGTGACCCAAAAAACATATACCTTTTATTTTATTTTCAATACCATAGGTCTTGGGAGACATCCCGTCAACATAGTTCTATACATATATATATATATATATATATATATATATATATATATATATATATATATATATATATATATATATATATATATATATATATATATATATATATATATATATATATATATATATATCATCGTATTCGGTTCAATTATTTCGGTGACGGTGAGATGAAGTTACTAGCATACATACCTGTCATACATACGTATCTGTCACGCCTGTTGCCTATTAGGTATCATACCGTTTACAGGTTCTATATCAGAAAAGTACAAAGAAATCTAGTGTTTTTGTCTTGCTCTATCATAGCGCTATATCTCGGCAACTACTAATCGTATTTATCGATTTGAAATTTTGAACAGTTTAGGATATTGTTGGCCCGCATATATTGCACTGGAAATAATTGAGCTAAACTCACACTTGACTGGTTTTATTTGTTAAAGTGCTTTTTCGATACAGATAAGATAAACGTTTTTATTATCGTAACTCTAAATTTTCCACATAAACTGACGATTCTATCCTACTACTAGTAACCCCGCCCGGTTTCACACGGACAGATAGAATTTTCTAAAACAATATATAGCCTATGTTAGTCCTCCATCGTGATGGATTCATCGAGAATTAATTTCCAGAAGGAACTACGTAAAGGTCGACCTGATAAAATATATTGCTACCAATGGGCTATCAAGCCCCCATTATTAACAATCTATTCACCCCAGTATTCTATGGTACCCACCCCAGGATACGAGTAATAGTCTTTTGAATACGCTTATAGTATCTAGTTTTATTTTATTGAACCTATAATTGTGTACGTTATAATGTACTGTTGGACGTTTCTAGGGTACTGAGGTATGAGGAGCTGGCATTAAATCCCAACATCACCTCATACAAACTGCTCAAGTTCCTAGGGCTGAGCGTGACTCCGTCAATAGAAGAATTCCTACACTCCCACACCAATGTCGAATCTGGTGGTGTAAGCTCCACCTTCAGGGTCTCACGCGATGTGCCTTTCAAATGGAAAAATGTTTTGGACTATAATTATGTTGAAGAGATACAGGTAAGTCGTTCTCTACTGTTGTAAATTATTTTTTAAATGGTCTTTATATTGAATTAACATATTATAATAAAGATGTCGAATAATTATTTGAGAAAATATAGATCATATTTTGTTTGTCTAGTTTGCCGATCAACCATAGTCAAGTCTCTCCATGACTTTCCATAAGTTTAGAAATAATAAAGACATGCAGTCATAATATGCTGGCTGGGTCATAATTTAAAATTATGTGCATGTAGTTTATATGCACTCAAGCATATAATGCGTTGTGTTACGATGCAATTCGTCGTAAGTACGCGAGGCATACAGTAGGTTTTAATGCCTGTGATATCTAATCTAGTTACTATAAATAGATTTATCCAAATGCCATTATTACATAGAACATCCTCTTTTTGCATTGCATTGATAGATAGATGTGTCAATCATTATGATGCCTTTTTCGCGTCGTTTTATATTATTTATTATATAGTCTCTGAATTGATTGAGCTAACTTATTGGGATTTAAAATTATTCTCTTTATATGGACTAGCATGCTTTTGATTTTTGTTACATCTGTGCCTCTAGTGAGAAAGGGTATAACTCAAGTTATAGCCTTTTTCTTTTTTAGGCTACTTTAAATAAGCAAATTTTTCTCTTTCGAACGGTATAAGAATCGTAACGATATCTTTAAAAACAATAGAGATAGTAAACATGTAAAAGGCTACAATTAACAAAATATTTGTGGTAAAAAAGTCATAATTAGAAATAAAACTACAATATTTTACAAAAAATATTTTTGTAAAATGAATCAGTTCGATTTGAACCCTTTTACACCATTAAATAGCGATTATTTTTTATAGCGTAAAATACACAATCATTGTTTTTCTTCAATACTTCAATAAAATAGTTTTAATTCAACTTAAAACTATTTTCACATGATAATTTTAATATTTTTGTTAAGTGTGATTAGGTATAATAGAATTATTTTTAAAACTATAGGTTTTACACAAAAACCGACAATTTCATAAGAAAGAGGAGAAAAAATTAACTTGTTCAATTAGCAAATAATAAAAGCAGCAGAATTTTTTTTCTTTATTTAAAATAGTTTTTTGGCTCTCCTGAAAAGTGACCATTTTGAATTGAACTCTTTCTCACTAGAGGCACAGATATATGGTGGCATGTTAATGCTACTACATATTTTAAATGAAGAGAGCTTGAATTGTATGATTTAATTATGACAAAATATGATACCGTAATATGATGTTAAAAAATCAAAACAGTGTTTTTTGGTATGCTTTGGAAGCAAATGAAAAAAGACCGATGCAGTGTATTGGAATTTGAATTAAATGGGTATGGGTAATAATTAAAAATCGAATTAAAAAAGGTAAAAATAACTACCTACAAACATACATATAGGTTGTTACTACTTATATTCTGAATAAAAGCCTAACTAAATAAATTATAAATTAGACTAATTTTAATTAATAAAATATTATATATAAAATATTTCATGTCATAAAATGTTTCATGCCAGGGAGGGGTCCTGGTGCCTTGTGATACGGGTTCTTTGAATACCCAGTTCAGGCACCAGTTCTCTATAACTTTGATGTATCTATGGTATTATTTTAAATGTTTCATTGTACTCAAAAAAATTGTGAGATAAATAAATAAACATTATTATATTATGAAGTTGTGAAATGAGAAATAATTTCACGCTTTTGACGCGGTTCAATTTTATACATATACAAACCAATTTTTTTTTTTTTTTTATATTTTTAGATGTTGTGCAAGGAAGCAATGGACTTATGGGGTTACGAGTTGGCTCAAAATGCTTCACAGATGGCTAGCAAAGAGTTCAACCCTTTAAAATCATATGTAATCACCCAGTGACATCACGTTCTGCGGAGACAAATTTTATACAATCGCAACGAAAATATGCGCTAATGCAATACGCATTATGGTATGTGTAAATATTTTTACTAGTTTCCTTTGTTAGAATTTTACTATAACAATTTAAAATACTTCTTCCGAAAAATATCATATACCTTAGTGTTAAAATTAATATGGAACTAATATCAAATTTAAACCATTTGATTGCAAAGTGAATTATCAAAATCGGTTCAGATTTAGCTATTATCTCGTTACATAATCACAAAATATTCTAGGCATATTAAGAGTCCTTTCAATTTTGAAATCTCTTAAAAGTAAAACAAACTTCAATTCCTCCTTGTTTGAAATTTGACATTAACTCGACAGAAGACTGTTTTTCAATGAAGACCATTCTTTTTGGAATGTGTAATACAAAAAATATTGTATTGTGTTATTGTTTCAGATGTTCCATAGTCTTGTTTTACACCATTGAAGATTTTTTAGCTTGTACATAGATTAAGCGTTGCTATTGCAAGAATTGAGACACAGTACTTCCTGGACAGAATTTAAGTATAATTTTTTTTTCAGATTCAACGTAAATTAATTTTCGATTACATTATCTATGAGTAATTTTTGGAAATCACTGCAAATTATTATGTATTTGAAAAGTAATAATGATTACAAGTTAGTTATTACTTACAAATATGACTAGTAAGAGAGAACTCAACTTTGTCACTAAATGAATAAATAGGTCTGCATATCCATAATAAATATTTACTTCTATTCTTACATCTATTATTACTTTGAACGATTGCAGTAATTTTCATGAAACTCGATAATGTTTGGATATGTTTATTTATATTTTGAGCCTAAAAATATGCTAATTAAGGTTCGCAATAACTTCATGTTTTAAGGCTAGCAATTTATTTCAACTATTAACTTTATTTGAATGTTTCTGAAGACTGATCACATCTCCAGTTTTATCATTATTCTTCCATTAATGTTTTAAAGTATTCCAATAATCAATAAACGCTCTATTATGTCAGTTGAATCGTACGAGATGACGTTGTGCATTGCACCGGGGGTGTATTAATATATCATTGTAAAAGATGGACCATTAGTTAGGGTAAACACGGGAATTGTTTGAAATACTAAAACGAATTTATGCAATTCCCATTTTTATCGCAAGCGTTATAATTGTTAAGCTTAGGCATTTAATATTTTAGCACTCACGGAATTGACGAGTTGTTAATGCTTCCATTGTACACGTGATTGTATAATGCGATGTAAATAAGAATAAGAATCACAAATAACTTTGGCCAAACAACTGTCATTTGTTATATTTTGCTAGGAAAATTATTTGCCATAGTTATCATTGTTTATTAATTAATTATCTAAGTCTTTATAAATTATTTTAATAGTTACGACGTCACAATATGGCGGAAAGTCAATTCTATTCTTATTTTGATCGTACTATTCGTACATTATTATCGGCAGGATCTAACCGTATTATTCACAAAATGTTAAACGTATAACAAACCTATTTCGTCTACTTAAATATTATGTCTCTTTCTAATTAAATTCTTTAATTTGAATAAGTTTTTTTATACATTCATAAAAATACGCTTGTTGGATGTTTGATTTTTTGAACAATACGGTAAGTGTATACCAAGTGGATTGAATATTTACTTAATCGATAACATATATATGTAATATAATGTCTAATTTCGAGGTAAAGAAAATAACACCATATTATTTACGTGCTCAGGGATCTTAATCGTACAATATTGGTTTCAAATTTTTTGCCAGATAACTTATTTTATGTTTTATAAGAGACGGAAATTAACACGATTGTTTAGGTAAAATGGTTATCTCTTATAAAATATTTCATACATTCATTCAGCGCAAAAGTCTAAAAGTTAATATAAACTTATTGTTGTTATTGAGATCTTGTTCTGTTAGTATCTTTGTCTAGATCACCTCGACACCTGTATTCTGGCAATAGTATGAAATTGGTACTAATGCCAATTTCGTACCCGCATGAAAATATCACGAGTATTAGAAACGTTGTGTGTTATCCATGGTGTTATTTATATACTTTGTCTTAATTTTAATCTAATGGGCTTGTTTGCCATTCTAAATTACTAAACATCTTTTCACTTGGTATATGGAGAAGTCAGTAGAGTTCGTATATAACATACAATTTTGGCTATTAGCAAATGCTATCGTAGTATAATTGATTGAGGTGCTACATATGCACTTTAGCCATCCAAATATCTAATCGACACATTAATACGAGTACAGGCCTAATTTTAGATAGGTTACAGAATTCGAAGCTATTGCTCGATTTTGCACTAATTGACATTGGGAGAAGGGAATGATAAAATAGATACTTATTTAGCTTTAGTTATCATACAATACATACAAAATTGTATGGGCTCATATTTATGTTAAGATTCAAATGTAAGTAAGAGTATTATTTATGTTTTCGCCACTCCATCAGTTTTAATAATTTTTAAGACCGCACGACATATTATGGTCTGCGAGTTTCTAATTGCTATATTACATAATCGGCCTTAACGTTTATGATTTATACATTAAAAAAAAAAAATATCACAGGGAAAATGAATAGCGAATTTCAAATGTAAAACGGGGAGCATAGAAGCAAATATTGTTTAATGAATGTTTTGTCGGCTTAAACGAAACACCAAACCAAACACCAATTTATAAATACAACATACTCCATAAAAAATAGGATTAATTATTGTATCATTTAAAATAAATGTCCTAATAATATAAAATAGTTTGTATCGGTAATAAACATGTACATGTTAGTACGGAGAAGAGTTAGGCAAATTGTTATATTTCCGTCCATGTTAAATACGATCCGCGATATATAATATCTGAATATCGTGATACGCGACATGTTCCTGATGTATTTTTTTTTATATGTGAAGCGCACATGACAACACCTACAGCGTTTAGTACAAGCACAATTTATATGATTTCCGAATACATATTTTTCTAGTATACAGATTTTAATAGAAATCACTAACATCCTGTGAATCCATGTGTCATCCAAAGCAGTATACTATTAGTGCAACTAAAGATTCTTTTTCCAAAGACACGTGGGTCGAAAACGATAAAAGATTTTGAACCTTCCATACTGACACGATACGTTCGATTATTAAGTTAATAAAAAAGCCTCTTCTATTTCTTTAGAAGAGGGAATGTTAATTTTCGTTGATAGAACATGGTAATAAAAGAATGTTAATAACTTCAGTTTCACCCCGCACATAAGATTACATACATATTTGAATAAATTCTAATAAATTAGTATAGTTTAATGACCACACAATAATATGTATATCGAAATATTATAAAGCATACAAGATTACAAACGACCTAACATGTCCCATTACAATGGCATACATAATGCAGTACTAAATTCATCACGTCATTTGTGGTAAGAAATAGGCTGTAGGTGTTCTGTCTAAAGTTACAATAAGGGCGGATTATGGAGACAATTGCCTTAGCATTCATTATAAAAACAAGTTTTATAAACATTGAATGTTTTAATATCTACCATAATACATGGTTAAATTGAGCTTAAAACTGCAATTTGAGATTAGATATAAGGTAAACTTCCGCACAAGGGTGAGATGACATTCAAAGTTATATATTAAATAGTTATATAATCTGTATATAATAATACGAAACTGTTTTTCATAGCAATTATTGAATAATACTTGCTTCGCAATAATAAATATGTATAATATTTGAAAGTCAATTCATGCTCAGTAAGGGTCAGTTATCATATCGCGCCGGTAAGTATATGTCTACAAGCGTATACGTGAATGTATTGAAAATTGAATGCCTCATATTGATATGAAATCCGTATTGTTTTCAATTATTACTGCCAATGACAAATTATTCACTAAATAGGAACATTATTGTTTTTTTTTTTAAATGTCATACAATCTCCCCTATGGCTTTGTTTTTAAGCTAGGATTATATTATTTTTTTATTATATATCTCTCAAGTACAGATATTGTCTAGTTAAAATTTTATTACATCAATACCTAGTAACAGTAAAACCTGTCTAATTTATTGCCATTTATATGTGACACGTATACCACAGAGTGGAAAGAAATAGTGCCTAAATCAAAACATTGAATAGAAGGTTCACTATATTGTATATGTTTATCAGATATACTTATCAAATGTCGCCCGTGATAACGTCCACATGAAGTTTATAATAATACACCTGACGCCCTTCACTGGGCTTACGAACTACCTGCTCTTTGTTAATTCATTTTAATTGTTTTAGCAGTACAATAACAAATTACAATACCCCTTGGGCCGAATATATTTTGTTTTTTTTTTCTTCTATATGTCTACAATTGTAATGAATACGTATAGATAATACGCGATTGTATGTTCAGATTAAAAAAAAATGTAGTCATAATATTATGTTTTTTATAACTCATGTAGATTCCTATTTTATTTTATGATAATAATCTAAACATTTTATTAAGTAAATATAGGAAACATACTTGGAATATATTTCATTTCCTACAAAGATAAATGATAAGCAAAAAATTTACTATTAATAGAAGAAAAGATGGAACGGAAGATATTTTATTGTAATACCATATTATAAAGATCAAAACTATATTTTATTTTTATTTGTAGTTTGTTTGTTTATAATACTTAATTGTACAGTAAAGTCCTAAATTATAAGATACACATTTCTTAAGAAAAGAATGAGTACAATGGCGGGCTTCTCCTATAAAAGGGATTTCTTCCAGTCAACCTTTGAATGTTTGATAGAAATTGTAAATTGGTAGTAACAAAAAAAAAAAAAAATAGTTAATTAAAAATATAGAGAAAAGGTGTTACAGTTACAACACGTTTGGAACATTTTAATTTCATATCGTACGGGGCATTCGTATTTCTTATTATTAAGTAGCCTAATAATAATTCTAACCAATGGAACTATTAATGTAGTGAGAAATTAAGTGCACTTGATTATAAGGTAGATAGTAGGGATAATTGGTAAAAACGATAATATAAATATTTAAATCTTTGAATGTATTAATTTCCGCGAACCTTCCAGTGGCGTTTTGTTTTTGTAGTGTAACTTACTCAATATTAACATTTGAGTCACATTCTCGTGACTATAAAATTATATTATGTAATTAGTAGGTTAACGTGTTTTAAATTATTCTCATGGTATTGTATAGTGACAGTTCCATGGATACGATATATCGATTATATGTTATTATTCAACATTTATACAATGTAATCTTTAATTTATAATCATAAACTTTCGTCTACTCATTTATATAGTTGAGTCATGAAAAATATATCATAATTTGGACTTTGTCTCTCTTTATACACTAGTTAGTCTAACGTAATTATACAAAAATGCTATTTACACATTAACGCAACATGGTAACTACCATAGACTATTGTTATTGCTTTTAAATAATCCTCAATATTAAAAATACTAGCATTTTATAACATATACCATATCTATAGTCATCTGTCTATGAATATTGTGATTATTCTCATAATAATTAACACATGTAACAATCTCTTATGTATTTGCATCAAAGAACGTATTATTCTATGGCCTTAATAAAATAAAAAAGATTTACTTATTTTGGACTAATGGATCATTAATGAAATTGTCGTTAACTTATAACCTCTTTGTATATAAACACTAATATTAGTGATAGATTTATTTGGTATACGCATTTAAAATTGAACGTATCTAGTCCCAATTTTTCCTTTTGAAACCTCGAATGGAATACACTTGTTTATTCTATATACCTTTATACGTAAATATGAAAGGCTCAATGTACTTTACTGTGTATAATTTTGAAAAATACTCTCTAGTCATTCGAACAAAATACAACTGTGTTGCATTAGTGTGTAAGAATACAATGAAAAGCTTACAATATAAACATATGTCAATAAAGCCATCAATTATTAATTAAGATAACATGCTTCCTGATAGATCGGACAATATAATATATTCAGTTATGCCTTAAAATAATACTGGTAGTGATATAGATAAGATTTATTATTGAATTGCATGTTAGTTATACATACATAATAATTATTTATACGTACTGGTGGCTGGCTGGACCCAGTGTAGATTTTTTATCATATCATAGCATATCATAAGATATACACTATTATAAGGTGTTTATTAAAAGCGTTATATTAATATAAAAAGTGCCAGACGATCCTAATCGTAGGATTCCTGTACTGAAATCATAAACCAGACAACGAACGTTTGGGGGACAATACTGCACGAATTCTGGTAATTGCAATAATCAAACTAAACGTTATGGGATTGGCATAAGGTTGTTAATTAATGAAAGGCGATTCTTGCACTCGCCAGAACACGAACTCTGATCACCCAAAGTAATTATTTCCAGTTTCCAATAAATATGTTGTCTATTATGAGATGTGATTTAACTCGAAGAGGGCGTCCATTAATTATGTGGCTTTAAATTTACATGGGTTAAAAGGAGGGAAAACAAAGAAAATCGCATATCAACTTTTGTTTTCCTTTTATTTCACTGAAATAAGCACAATACATCAACATATCAAATAAGTTTAACAGAATAGAATACATTATTTGTTTTATTATAGGTGACACAATGTTCTTATTTGAAAAGTAAATAGATCCGTATTCAGCTAATAAAATAGCTAAGCAAGCAAATTATTTAATTAGTATTTAATGTTTCCATATTATGTCATTAATTATAATTAAAAATAGTGGCATTATAAAGATATGACTACAAAAAACATGATCTCATATTCTCAAAGTTGTTTATTTATCAACTAATTAAAAATTTTACATAAGAGGGAAAGGGTTCTCTTATCGGTAATAAATTTCACCAATATGGAGCGTAGGACGAGAAGAACGTAATTAATAGACGTCCACTAATCTGATTCAAATATCGATCACTAATAAGAAGATTTACATCCATCTTAAAATCGCAATGATGTTTAAAAAATCTCTAGGTTTTGGTAAGAACAAATATTTCAATAGTTCGCCAAAGAATTGAAAAATTTTGATGACAGTATCAAAAACGCCCTCTACTGAGAGGATGTTTTGTAAACGCTAATTATGTCTTGTTGTTACTGATCGAAGATTTGAAATGTATTATTTATCAGTATTCTATGTCCTGCTATTGCAATTGCGAATATGTTATTTGCAATGTTGTACTCGTAACTTCCATACATTGAACTGTTGTGTATACAAATTTTATATAGCTTTATTTTGTGCTATGTGATATTTTGGCTAATGTTTTGTTACAAAAAAAAATATATTTTAATTGTGTTATCAATCGTCAATTATTTTCTTATATTTTATTTGTAAGTAGATATAGGTTATAGAATGTTTATTTTGAAATACCTAAAATTATGTCAGTGTTGATGGTGACATATACGCCATAACAATAACGAATAAACTTATTAGTAACAAAGTTACTGTTAAGGCCTTTATTATTTACAAGATTTCTAAGCAATATCTAAACGCATTGGCCCATAAACGAATGAAGTGGTAGAATTTAAGGGTAGCCTTACTAGTATAAGAGTTACGATTGACCTAAAAAGAATGTTGAAATTTTACTTAGTAGATCATAGCACAGCCACCGTTATTATTGCAAACATTGTATCATCATTTTTTATTTGAAGTTAAATAAAGTTAAAATAAATAAATTGCCTTATTAATGTAAAAGTTTGTACCTAAATCCTAGTCATTTGAATATATGTTACGTTACTGCTGATTTGAATGAAATTTCGTTCCCAGACTAAACCGATACCGATACTAGGATAGGATTACATTGTAATAACAGTAAACTATTATAATAAATTATTATTTTATTTTATTTTTTGCGCACTAAAATTAGGTGCAAAGGGTTAATAACAACTTAAAATACGCAGTATTTAAGATTATATTTTCCAAAAGCAATCTAACAGACAAACTGGATTTCTTATTTTACCTAAATGCAAATATGAATCAGAATTAAAATAACGTACCGTAGGTAGGCTACGGTATATAAATATAAATCTGGTGGTTTAGTATTTGTTCTTTAAAAATGCTAGAGGACATGAATGAAAAGGCAGAGGCCATAACACAGATCTAATTTATTTTAGTATCAACTAGTACCTATACATTTTTAGAAACTATAACCACATTGTATTACTACTTTAATACTCTTGCTGTACTGTATATACTGTAGTATTCGACAGTCCCATGTAGACCAACTAAGTAGAAATAAGGTATACTTAAATATATTTTTAATAAATCTTTACAAATATTGCGAACCCAACAACAATAAAAATACATACGAACATCGTCATAATAGACATATTAAAGATGTTCCTTACAATACTAGAGTAATCTGGAGCAGAATTGGTTGTATACGATGTTTCGATATTTCCTCCCGCTGGCAGCTTAGACTGAAATGCTGACAAAAAAAGATTGGAAGATTAATAAAGATTTAGAATCCATAATTTAAACATAAATTTCGATAAAACAAAAGTCATGCCATTCATAATAGAAATAGGCATTAAAAATAAAATTCTTCTATTCGAATGTTTATCTAAAACGTGTCCCGAATATCTCTTTTTTACGAAATTAAACCTAGGCTTTATATAATTTCAAAAATTCGACATTACCATTCCATTATCATCCATTAAAAAAAACATCTAACCTATTGTGGCTATGCCCAATCATAGACTAATTATATGAAAGATAGTACAGATACACGCAAAGTATTTTTAATAAAAAAAATATATAAATTAAAATACAGTTATATAGTTCAATCAAAATTATAATAAATTACCAAAATATATTCTAAATGAACAAGACAAACGTAAATTTTGGAATGATCTAAGGAAGTATATAAACAAAACCTATAACATGGAGAAGTTTTATAGCAAGCTCTGACGATGCTAATATGCGGGAAACTTAAGTGCTTTGAGATATGCAATAAACATACTGCATTACTTAGTAATTACATATCAAGGTAATGCCATCTATGGTAGGAGGCGGGAGATGATTGTTAATGGTACAGAAGTGTCTAGCTGTCCTATTACTAGCAATATTTATCTGGGCGATCTTTACACAGTTTGTAATTATAGTAATAAATTTTTGATGAATTCGTTCAGATAGGCCATTGGAATAATATCTACAATTGTAACAACTGACGGACCCTCAAGATACAAGCAAACATCTGGAGGCACAAAAGAAAATCAGAAAATTTCATTTTCAAAATTAGCCTAATCAAACCCTATATTTCTGGACCCTTCATTTAACTACAAAAAATCGGAGATAAAAGACAAAGTTTTGGCATCTTTACATTTGTTGCTAAACATAAGTCTCTCTCAAAGATTACTAACACTGTAAATGTTAAAGTTACTTTGTTACCACTTAGCTAGTATAGTATTATATTTTATTTATTTATTTATTCATTATTGCACAATAAAATTGTACAAATGGCGAGCTTAATGCCATATGGTATTCTCTACCAACTAACCATTGGATAAAAACAGAAAACGTATGAAGGGCAGATGTGGTGAAAAATATGTGACAATTATAGTAACACATTAAGGCAGTACACAATATAAATATAATATACATATAAGAAATGCACATATAATACATAAACATTACTTTTAATATATATGGATAAACTAATACATATGAATTATATATATATATATATATATATATATATATATATATATATATATATATATATATATATATATATATATATATATATATATATATATATATACATAAAATAACGATAAGCATTATGAGATATAATAACTATTGAGTAACCTGTAACTAGAGCTGGTTTTGTTGACTCAACAATTAATTAAAAAGTTATTTTATCTGTGACTTAGCGCTTTAACAGCTCAATCAATCACTATGAAATTTGGTAAGGAATAAAGACAGATAAGCTACTTTTTATCCCTGTCAGTGAACATATTCCGGTCACATAGATGAATTCGCGGGTAAAAGCTAGTCGTTGTATAAAAAATGGCTCTGCCACTTGCATTTACTGACTCGCTGCCACACATAAGGTTGAAATATTTAAAACAAATTAAAAACGGCATATAACTAACCGTCATTAGCGATTATCACCAAAATAAGAACCAGTTGGAGTCTCTTCATTGTTATTAATGTCAGCTAATACAATATACCAGTTGCGGTATGGAGCTTTGATAATATTATGATATTGGCACTATAGTTTTATCATTTTTATTAAGTTTATCAGGTGTTTGTTAATAAACCTTTAGTCAATAATCCAACGTAGAGTAAAAGTGGACTAGATACTGCACTTTAGGTATTTCTTTAAATATTTATTAATATTATAAATTTCGCAATATTTTTCCAAAAAAAACCCTAGTATAGTTACACATTATTATTTATCTAAGCACGTGTTAATTTGGATATAATTTTCCTTATGTTTTAAAAATAATCATAATAACGACAACCAAATCCTTATAAACTTATAACCAATGTAGAATGGAGTAATAGGTAACTACATCTATCTATCTATCTATTTAAGAGCAGCGCTCTTGTCGGTGGAGCTCTTGCCACTCACTACGATTTTCAGCGAGTCTTCACCTCTTGATACGACACGACACCAACTCCTTCCTTGATCTGCCTGATGTAACTATGTCTCGGTCTCCCTCTCCCTCTCCTTCCTTCTATCTTACCTTCTATTATAATGTTCATAAGTTCGTCGTGTCGTATCAAGTGTCCCAACATTTTTCCCCTTCTGTCCTCAATAGTTCTAATAATTTGTCTTTTTTTCCTTAACCTTAAGCAGGACCTCCTCATTGCTAATCCGATCCTTCTAGCTAATTTACTTCATCCTTCTCCAGCACCACATTTCAAATGGAGGACACATGAAAGGAAAAAATATAAGGTAATTACATAAATCCCTAAATTACATAATATTTAGATAAAAATCAGGCGATATCGGTTATCAATGTCATCATATTTTTTCTGACATTGGTCCTGTTTTTCGAAGTTTCACCCCCCAGCTCTTATATATTTTGGAAGTTTTCCTTAGATTAGATTGCTTGCCATTCTAAGTTGTATGAAAAATAAAAAAAAATCCTTGTAATTTCCAAAATTCTTTATCACTGATTTAGATTCTAGATCGTCTATAAATACTGTACTGACCGACATGGTGAACGTTATTTTGCTCCTTAAATGTTATTTATCGGGATAAGAATTATCCTACTTCTCAAGTGTGACCAAACATTATAATGAAAATTGCTTTAAATCATTCTTAGAAGATGGCTTAAATGAACACTGTAACACGGGATTTTTATATATATATATTTTTTTATATAACTTAGAATGGCAAACAAGCTGACGGCCCACCTGATGGAAAGTGGTAACCGTCGCCTATAGACATGAGCAGTATCACAGCAGGACATAACAGAGTATACTGTTTTGCCCATGATACCCTCCATGCGGTGCCATTCCTGATGACTCAGGAGTTATTCCTCTGTATCCAGTAAATTCACGCCTTATCCCACCCTTCAAACCGAAACACAGCCATGCAAACACAACTGCTTCACGGTTGAAACACGAATGGGACAGAGGTATCCAAGCAATCGACTTTTGTACAAAGTCTCCCTCTGGGAAAATTAATATTAAAATATTAATAGGTACTTAAGAAACTTATGAAAAATTCATATTCGTAAATTTTGATCTACCAATTTACGTTGTGCATAACAAGTAGGTACATGGTATAAAAATTATCATTCGTAATTGCCTCGTTTAGCTTTATTAATGTAGCAATATAAAATATTTTGATTTAATATTAAATAAATAAATAAAAAAAAATATTTTAGTGATAGGTGTTTTCTATTTTTCTACTTGTGTCCTTTAGTCAATATGTAATGAAAGTAAATACGAATATAAGGTACACAATTAGGTACTTATTTGGATTTCAGTAAATTGATTCCAGTCCTACCCAATAATGATTATGAAAGGAGACGATACTAATATATCTCTAACAAGATTTGACCATTTTTGACCAAATTTCTGCTATGATTTTTTAATCATTTAAGTAATTATAAAAATATTGAAAAAAAAATCATTTTTTTTATTAAAATTAGTTTTACTTAAAACATTATCATTGTTTCATAATCTTCTGATTTGAAACTATCTAACTGATCTGATAAAATTAATCAAACTCGGATGTTAATCAAACAGAGATGTTTGGCTCAGGAAATATCACCTCTGAAAAATAATAAATACATTTAGTGCTCTATAAAGAGCTGACAGTTACGATAGCACCAATGATAGTATTTAAGCTGTTATTTTTTTAAGACTCGGTAAACAAGCTTACGGCTCACTTGATGGAATGTGGTAACTGTAGCGTATACACATAAATAACATCATGGACTTATGTAATAGATACATATATCTCTTTTGGACAAAATATTTAGCATCAGCTATATTTCTCCAATATATTTTTTCAATCTCAAATTACTCTTTAAATTACTATGTATATTGTTTTATTTTATTTCATATTAATTAAGATAAAAATTGTTTTGTGTATAAATTTAAAATTAGCAAAATTAATTCATATATATATATATATATATATATATATATATATATATATATATATATATATATATATATATATATATATATATATATATATATATATATATATATTAACTAACCAAGAGCTCACAGGATAAGTATTATAATAGTGAATAAACAGACAATTACTTCTAATATATTTAAAGTTAGTAATATGGAAGCCCGTCTTGAATAGGTACTTTCATTGCTGTAACATAAAAGAAAGTAACTAAATTAGGTACAATTTAGGAAATATATATAGATTGTAGAATAACAATAGATTTGGTTCGACCTCGCTTTCTATGGATTTCTATTCAACTTCAAAAAGCAGAAGGTTCTTAACCCTATATTTTTTTCAAATACAAAAGGCCTTTTACACGTGGCTCGTCCAAGATGCAAGGTGGTTGCACGCATATTACTGGGGAAACTGAAAAAATAATGATGTAACTCATATTACAATATCTGTGGGATTACTCTTGAAATAAGTTTCAATAAATTGGTGTTACACTAATTTAGGACACTTATAACTTAAAATATTTTTTAAAATGTTCAAGTAGAAAAAAAAAAAAAATAGGTACATTTTTAATCTGGGCATTATATATTATCTGTGCCCTGGGTAACAGACAGTAGCGTTATAGGTATGTAGCTCACTCAAGTAGCGGGATACTCACTTCATTAGGTCCTTGTAACGCAGCAGGATCCATGAGTGTTCATTAGCTTTTGTACTGACTACGTTTGTAAAGATATAAGTAAGTACGTACTTAACTAAATTCAAAGCAACGAACGAATAGTAGACTGACATGAAATGGGCACACTGAATATAGAACTACGAGTATCTATATTTACTTAGATTTTTAGATTATATACTTCTTTGAAGGATCTCCAAACAAATACCTGTTTGCGTGAAATAGTGATACTAGAATATATAGTTAAGTACTCAGTAAATGGTAGAATGTGTATGAAAATTTAAGTTTTAAAATAAAAAATAATACCGCATTCTCACGTCTATATTTAAAAGAACATATATTGAACTATATATAGACATCAATTGTAATCAACAGTTTTCTTGATAATCAGCAATCGTTGATAATCAGTATTTGCTATTAAGTATAAGTAACTAATTAGTTTTCGGGTCACGCTTGAATTTTGTAACTAAATGTTTGTAAAGATGTTTGAATCTTTGATTGCTTCTTACTACTTCTTCGTCTATTTTTATATGGCATAGACCGTTAAACTGGTTGTCGAAAGGCAAGCGTCTAAAACCCCTTTGAATTGGAAAACATAATCACCAAAGTGGACACTATTCGTATATTTTTAAAATATGTAATAAATTAGCTAAAACATTTAATCGAATATATTATTATTTAAATATGTACTTCGTTTCTAAATTTTATCAATCATATTCAATAATTTCCATAAACATCATTATCTGAGATATTAACTGGATAAATAGTATATCATCTTATATAAATTAATTCATCATAAATGTAATAAACAATCTATTTAGGATATTCAACAAGCCAATCCAATTAATTTCTATACTACTACACCACTATAAACATCATGGTGTTAAATACCTAGCGTAAGCTGATAATGGACTAGTTTTTATCGCCTATATCATAAGCGACTCCCAAATTGTTTCATTTTGTTCAGAAATTACAAACGATCAAAAAGTACAATCCCAAAAGACTAAGTACATCTGCGAACGTCAGATAACACATATTCCTGACAATCCTGTAAGATTCATAATTTTCATGTTTTCTAATTACAAATAATGTTATTGTAATATAATTGATTTGCAATGGCAAATATGTTGATGATGGCACCCCTGATAGACAGGGCAGTCATGGCTTATAGACCGGGACAGTACCATAAGGAGTCTCTATTCTAATGACAGTACCATCTACATCACATAATATTATTTGGTTATAAATATCTTTTTATAATAAAAGTTTTTTTAAATAAAAGTTTTTTTCCACGCTTTGAAATAAACAGTATTTCCGAGATAATATATATAGAGATGATATATATGAGAGTTATAGTAACTTTCAAGAAAAAAGTTATTCCTTTTTAAAAGGTCGGAACTACGCATGCAATTTATTTAATATTGCAGTTGATCATGAATGGCGGTAGTTACATTAGGTTAGCCGCATGCTCGTTTGCCTATAAAAATCATAGAATCAAAAATCGAATCCATCTAAACTAATATTACAAAGAAGAAAAATCGATTTCATTATATTAGGTAAACTCAAAAAATACTCACAATTTGTAACATTTTTTCAACTACGAAGCTAGTAAGATGGGTTATATTTTATTTTTAAAAACACCTTGCGAAACCAGTGTGGATCACTAGTAAAACATGAATACATGTTCAGTCAGACTGTTTCTATTTCTATTTTTTTTTTTCATAATATAATTATTGTATTTAATATACCTACGGGAGAAAAGGGATTGTTAGTAATGGAGACTGAAAATTTCATTGCTAGCAATATACCCAACCAGGTCGACCTCCTCGCGGTTCTCCCTGGAAACTATCATGGTTAATTCGTGATAAATTCATCATGATGGGCTAACTGGCCTGTTTTCATTCTCATCTATCACCCTTCACTGGTGCTCAGGCGGGGTTACCATACCATTTTCACCCATCAAAAAAAAATACCTCTGCGAACCAATTTTCTACAATTAGGAATGATTTAAGAACATTTCTTCTCCTTATAGGACTTCTTCAATATTTCATGTGGCTTGTCAGACCAAGTACAACTTAGGTCTAAAAGGTAGACTAAAATTACTGGAAATGCTTAACCAAAAATCCATATTTATCGTCGTGGAATCAAAGAACAAAATTAATACTGATTTAGGATTTTTTCATA